TTTAGAGCCCTTTCTGCCCTGCTTCAACCGGACTGCACGGGGAGCTGGGCTCAACTGGAGAGGATGACAGGAGTGGCAGCGATAGGCAGGTACCCCCTCCCTGCTTCTGCTCTGGGCTAGTTACTTCTGTTCCCCTCTTCAGAACATTTTCGCTGAGCACGCACATACCTTGTCTTGAGTGTCTTGCTGCTTTCAGGGGCCCGAAAGCTTACAGAAAAGGACAGTTTTCTTGCCATTTTCCAGTTGGTCTAATAAAAGGTATCATTGTGGAACCAAGAGTTCAAGTTTTTTGTATATCTTACTGCTTTCATACCTTCACCTTCTATGTAAACATGAAAAACACTCTGTTGTCTCTGATCTCATCCCCAGCATTTTGCAGGTAAGATACTGCCTGGTATAACCTCACTGTTTACACCTCTCTAGACCTGTTTGGCTGCAGCCTCAAAAATTAGATGTAGAGTTGAGAGCACAAGATTGGGAGAGAGGAGAGATAGGGCTACCACTTACATGGGTATTAACCTGAGTACAATCAATGTAAGAAAGAGAAGAACCTGAACCTTGTTTTCTATTCCTGGCTTCAACACAGACTGACATTCCATTCTATCATCAAAACTTCAAATGTATCATCAAAACTTAAATACTTGGGAGAAGGTACACGTAGAAACTCTCATGCCTTCATCCACCTGTTGTGGTCCCTTCAGCTACTGTTTTTTCCCCCCAGAAAGTACTTTGAACTTTGAGGGGACAGATACTGCAGCAGAGTGTGTGTGGAGTCGCCAGAAGTGCATGCATATGCATATACTCTGGCAGCTTGGCAGTGGAGGATACTGTTTGCTGCCAGCAAAGGCAAATAAGTATATACAAGGTTCTTGTGCTGATCACAACTCTCCATATGAAGGTCAAATTTCAACAAAAGGCTTCCAGGAGCTCCCACAGGTCTTCTCTAACATGCTGCTGTTACCTTGAGCTAGTCTCTGAGAGTCTCAGTTTCCTTATCTCTGAAAAGAGAACAGCAGTAGCATTTACCTACCTCAAGATAAAGACATTCATAGAATCATAGAAAGTTAGGGTTAGAAGCAACATCAGGAGGTCATCTAGTCCAACCCCCTGCTCAAAGCAGGACCAGGCCCAACTATATCATCCCTGTCAAAGCTTTGTCCAGCTGGGTTTTGAAGACTCTCAAGGATGGAGCTTCCATCACCTCTCTGGGTAACCTGTTCCAGTGTTTTACTACCCTCCTAGTGGGAAAATTCTTCATAATATCCAACCTAAACTTCCCTTGTTGCAACTTGAGACCATTGCTCCTTGTTCTGTCATCTGACACCACTGAGAATAGCCTAGCTCCATCTTCTTTCCAACTCCTCTTCAGGTAGTTGAAGACTGCTATTAAGTCTCCTCTCAGTCTTCTCCTCTCTAGACTAAATAAGCCCAGTTCCCCCAGTCTTTTCTCATAAGTCATGTCCCCCACCCCCTCACCATTTTTATCACCCTCCACTGGACTCTCTCTGATTTGCCCACATTCATGCTGCCTTATTTAGTACATAGAGACTCTGAGATGGAAGATGGAAGATGTCATGTAAATGGCAAATAGTAGTGAGATACAAAACTCACTAGTCATTTAGATATTTTCTAATCTGAGATTTAGGTTCACATCATTACAGAAATTAATCATTTTTAAAACATGGATCTGGGATTTTGAGTACCTCTACAGTTTGAGGGCATTCAGATCTTTCCTTTGGGGTCAGTTTGGGCCTATTTTTGACTGCATTGTAAAGAGAGGCAGCATACCATTTTCTTATGCATCCAAGATAAAGTTATTATCCTTTATTTTTAATACTCATTAATTATGGGTAAAATTAGAACCTGATCCTGCAACTGATTCCATATCAGTTTTGCAGACTAACTTTGTATAACAAGTTGCAGGATTGGAGCCTGAATTTTTTTTACGTTCTGTAATCCAAAAACATACTTCCTCTTCTCTTAGTATGTTAATTAAGCATGGAACATTTTTAATTGGAATTTAACATGTTCAAAGCAAATTGCTGCAGTGGAAATGCCAGTACAGATGGTACTCTTACAGGTAGAAGATGTCAGTTTTTTTTCATTTCTGGAAATGAGTTATCTGGGGACTTCTCCATTAGAGTTTCTGAAAGTTGGTACAGTATTTTTACAGCACATTCCTGCATATAGCACCTTCTTTTGGAATGGTAGATTAAATTAAAAAGGTCCTTCCTCGTAACTGAGTAGCAGCATCTGGGGAACCTGCCTTCAAGTTTGTTGCCAGCCTGCATACCAGATGTGGCCCATGAACCAACCTGATAACCTGGTCTGGGGCCATGTGCTGACTCCAACCACATGTTCTGGCTCTGGGCCAGGCCAGTGGGTGGGAGCCATGTAATTCAACCGGGGTGGGGGATCTCCACAGGTTTAGAAGTTTGGCAGTGTAGGAGCTTCTAGATCCATGGCAATCAATGCTGCCAACACTCCCCTGCTACCAAGTTTCTGGACCTGGGGGATCCATTTTTTTCTTGCATATAATGCATACCCCAATTTTCACTAGCTGGTCTTGGGAAAATAGGTGGAGCTTATGTGATAAAAGATGGCATTTTGTATTAGAAGACAAATCTTACAGTAAGGTTTTTATATGTATTTGGATCAAGGCAGTATGCTCAGGAACAAGCAGCTTACACTGAGATGCAGAAGAAATCCCATTCCCTGTATTCTATTTTCACTTCCTCCAGTCTCTCTCACCCCTTTCAAATGTTTCTGTATCTCCTTATAACGCTAAGTGTTATCATAATGCTGGTGTTCATCTTTCACCCTATATGCTCCAGAACTGCACAAAGGTTGAAAGTGATTATTAAAATAAGAAATGCTTTGGTATTGCAAAATGTGTGTGGACACTAAGAAATTCATGCTTTTTGTTGTACTGAACAGCTACAGGGCATCATAACATCATGGATTAGAAGAGCACAGAATTCCTGCATTGGAAAAAAAAAACAAAAGGCCTACATTATTTATTAGCTGTTAACACAAATAATAAAAATACGCCCTTTATCACAGGATCCAACTTGTACAGTTGGTTTACTAAGTTGTCTGCCTGCCTTCTGTTAGGGCAATATTCAAGCTCTTTCCGAACTTGTCTACACAGCCTGGTGCAAGCCTGAGAGCACCACCAAGAAGCCTCCTTCAGTCGCATCATTTCACATAGACCATATCTCAAGCACGAGGTAACAGAGTTCCTTCAGAGAGGTGCTGTGTGTGTGCCAAAAGCCACTCCCAGGCTGTCTATCTCGGAGGTACTTACTGGCGTGTGCTCAGGGCTGCTCTAATGCAGCTTCATTGCCTCATTTCTAGGATTTGCCATATGCAAAGCAAGCATAAAAGTATGCAGGCTGTGCTTCTCAGGACATGGGTGCACAAAATACTTAGAACAGTTTAAACATGGTTAACCTGAAGCAGATGGACATACAAGGTTGTTAAACTGATTTAAAGGCTTATGCATGGAATGGTTCAAAAGTCTATTGGAAAAATCAAGTTCTATTTTTAGCTGGCCCACTACGTACTGGTTTAGTGTTGTGTGTGAACACCAAGCATTGTGACATGGGTCCTGCCAGTCCTCCTGGCATCCCCCAGTGCACTGCTTTTCACCCTCCCACCCCAGTGCCACAATTGACTGCTTTGGTATGTAACCAGAACTCTTCTGTTGACACTTTTTAATCAATAAGCTCCCTTTTTAATTCCGTGAAAGCTATCTAACAGCCAGCTGTGTCCTCACTCCCTACTCAACTGTGGCTCCTTGTCATTCCCCCCACCTCCCCCACCACCTCAGGGAACTAAAAAGCAGGGGTCCAAGTACATCCTTTTTCTCCACAAGTCAGGCAAGCACACTGCAGACTTTGGTCACTTGCTAGCTAGTGAAGGTTATGGCACTCATGCTTAAGAAACAAGAGAAACCAGAAGAGGAAACAAGGCCCTCAGCCACAGGTCACCCACCCCCCAGGCTTCCCAAACCATGGTTACAAGCACGCGCATTGCCAGGCAGTGACATTCAAGAATGGGATCTGAGCATATACTGACAACATTTCATGGAAGCAGGATGCTGGGTGCCAGGGTTCCCCTTCTTCACTTGTGGCAGGTTAGGGTGTTAAGAGTGTGTAGCGGCTCCTTTAAATCTTGCACATCCCTCCTTGCTGCTGGTTAGTGGAGGACCCCACTGCTCCCTCCTGATCAGCAGAGAAGCTAAAACTGCTGTTTTAAACATGGCACCTTTTTGGCTCCCTGCCAGTCGGCACAAACAGCAGGGCCGCCCGGGACCCCTCGGCCAATCAGTGACAGGAAGCAAAAAGGGTGCCGTATTTAAAACCAGTTTTTGCCTCCCTGATCAGGAGCAAGCCACTAGCAAGGCCTCTCCACCCATCAGCAGCCAGGAGAACATGCAAGATTAAAAGAATCACGGCCGACCCCGCGTCCACCATGACTTTGGCAGGTCCCTACATGTAGTGTTTGGATTCTGGTTTGTATGGGACGGTTTGGACAGGGATGATCCTGCCTCAGGCATGGGGTTGGACTAGGCTAGATCAGTGGTTCTCAACCTTTTCTGTACCAGGACCCATTTGTAAACATCATGGCGAATCTGTACCCTGTGCCCCGCTCCCGCCCCACAGCGTACACGCAGCTGTCACACACGGGAACCGCTCAAGGCGCTGGGAGCCCGGGCTGCCCAGAGAAGCCGGCCCCGAGACGTGAGTCATAAAGGCTCACACAAGCCAAGCCCCACGCGCCGCAGCGCAGGCGCGCGCTCTGCACGGGGGAGCGCAGCGCACCAGAAGCTCCCGCGCGCCCACGCCTGGTGCCAGACCTCTTTGCGCTGACGTCACTGCACCGGGCCGAGACTGTTCCGACCCCTCCCCTTTCCGCCCTGTGGGCAGGCGCTCCGGCCCCACAGCCAATGGGAGGAGGGGGGACAACATATGCTGAGGCGCATGCCCGCGCGCGAGCTGAAAGCGACGAGTACTTCCGCTCCGCCCGTTGGCCCTTCCGGTCTCCTCAGTGTCGTAGGGCGGTGACGTGATCCGGTTGCGCCGAGCGGGATGGTGCTGCAGTTGACCTGGCCGATCCCCAGGTGCCTCGCGCGGCCGGGGCGGGGCGGAGCGGGGCGGCGCTTGGGCGAGAGCCGAGCGGGGACTTCCCTTGGGGCTTCGTCCCCGCGCCGGCGGCGGGGACAGCGAGGGGAGATCCGCTCTCCTCCCCCCCCGTGCCTCTCTTTCTCTCTCTGTCAGAAACTGGAGCAGGCCTCGCACTGCAGAGAGCTCGGAACCGCCTTGGAAAGCTCCGGGTTTCTGTCGGGACCGGGTTTCCGGCGCCTTCCTCCTTTTCCCCACCAGGTCCTCGGCAGGACCTCAAGGTGTCCCCCCACCCCAGACCAGATTGTGCAGCGCTACTCTAAAGCACCAGTTCTCAACCGGTTTTGTACCAGGTCCTATTTGTAAGCATCAATGGCTAGTCCTGCCCCAGTGACCCTCACTTCAGACCCACTGCTCCCACCTCCAGGCCCCAAGCAGCACAGCCCATGAGAGCGCCCAGTTTCCCCACATTTAAAAGGAGAATTTTTTTTTTTTTTTAAAGTTTGCTGATCCATTTTTAAAGCTGGTTCACAACCCTTTCATATATTTTTGTGACTGACTTCTGGATTGTGACCCACAGGTTGAGAGAAACTGCGCTAGAGGGTTGCATATGAAAGCTGTTTGTTCAGAGACCTCTAAGTGCCTCGTGTACCTCTCCCACCCCCTCCCTGCACAAGATGACTTTAGCCAGAGTCACCTGTGGTTGTGTGTTCTTTCTGCTAGCAAATCTTACCTATGAAAAGGTTAGACTAGTGTTGAGGGTAAAGCTTGGGAAGCAGCATAAACTAGCATCATACCTGACTGATTACTTGTAATTGTGAGATTTACTTAATCATGCATCTGGCTAAAAGTGCCGCTCATCATTTGGCAGTTTAAAAAGAAGCAGAGATCCAGTATCTTAAAAGCAGAACCCAGCAAAGTCAATTCCTTGTCTGCCCACACAAATGGCATGGGGTTCATAGCAGAGGTTATAGATCTATCCATATGAAATTGCCTTAGTCTTTGTTCAGGTGTACTGGAGTAAATCTTGAATAAGTCTTTAGGATTTTAGTGGAGTTATTCTACATATGTACTTGTGATACAATAGCAGATGCAGTGCCTTGAAGAAACTTACAACTGGAAGAGACTTTTTGAGAAGGGCAGTTGAAAAACTGAAATAACTTCAGAGTCTACAAGATATGGCATAAGGCTTTAAAGTCATATCCTCATGTTAGGAACATGCCTAAATATTAGATAGAGAAGATTCATAGATGTTAGGGTCAGAAGGGGCCTCAGTAGCTCATAGAGTCCAACCCCCTGCATAGGCAGGAAACAGTGCTGGGTTCAGATGACCTCAGCTAGATGCCTATCTGACCTCCTCTTGGTGTTCTCCCCTACCCTGGGGATCTTCACCTCCCTTGGGAGCCCATTCCAGATTTGGCCACTTCAACAGTGAAGAAGTTCTTCCTAATGTCCAGTCTAAATCTGCTCTTTGCTAGCTTATGGCTATTATTTCTTGCAACTCCCGGGGTGTCTTAGTGAGTAGAGCCTCCCCAATTCCCTTCTGCACCCCCATAATGAATTTATAGGCAGCCACAAGGTCACCTCTCAGCCTTCTCTTGCTGAGACTGAAGAGGTCCAGGTGCCCGTGTCTCTCCTTGTAGGGTTTGGCCTGCAAGCCCTTAACCATATGAGTGGCCCTTTTCTGGACCCTCTCCAGGTTATCCACATCCCTCTTGAAGTGTGGCACCCAAAACTGGATGCAGTATTCCAACTGCAGTCTGACCAATGCCCAATAGAGAGGAAGTATCACCTCCTTGGTTCTGTTTGTCATGCATCTGCTGGTGCATGATAAAGTGCAGTTAGGTTTACTGATGACTTTGTTACACTGACGACTCATGTTTTAAGAGTCCTAAGCTAGCTGATTATAGGCAGCCCTTCTTCCCTTATGTCTTAACTTCTAAATTTGTTTTAGCCGTTTCAGAATTGGAAGTGACTCATTTGCATTTGTGTTAATTGGGTTTTCTTTGTGTGTGTTGTGCCTCCCCCCCCCCCCATATTCCTTGAAACAAGCCCACTAGGAGAGGTTGGAGGAACTGGGCTTATTTAGCCTGGAGAAGAGAACATCAAGGGAGGATTTAATAACAGCCTTCAGCTACTTGAAGGGTGGTGTGACGGGAATATCTCAAGGCTGGTCACAACGTTGGCCTGCCCACATGTCTAGAACAGTCTGCCCTACCTCACCTGCTATGCCTTGATGTAATAATTACTGATATAACAGTGTAGGAGGCTGCCCATTTAACACCCCAATGCCTAGGGCATTATTCCTGGCCCTGAACTTCCCCATATACTGCATCCTATGCCTCATGGTGGAATTACATGTCATCTGTTACCCCCCTGATCCCTTAACTGGGTTTCAACTCACACCCCATCACTAGAGCCTTAACTGTGGCTACTCTGGTTGACTCGTGTGCAGTCCTTCAGGCCCCATAAGGCCCTATTCTGCACAGCCTCCAGCCACTACTCTGCCCCCTAACTGTGGCCACAGGGCCTTATCTCCCACAGGTCTCAGGTGTTTGCAGATATGCCTGGACCCCCACTCTTGACCTACAGCCCACTCAGTCCTTGCGTGTCTGTAGACAAGCCTGGGTCCCACTCAGTGAGCCTGAGCCCTTGTGCTTTTCTGTCAGGGTGTGCTCCCCTAGCCTTTGCCCTCCCCTGGATATCCACAAGGTAGCGGGGGCTGAGGCATTCTGGCATCCCATACTTGCCCTTCTCTAGGGAGGCACAGGTGTGGAAGCTGCCCTGCCACAGGCAGCCCTACTACACCATTCAACCCCCACAGGGTGTAGTTTTAGGTCATTCTCCCAGACCAGGAATCTTCTCCCTCCCCATAGTTCCTGTCCTTTACCTCCAGGTGTTCTGAAAGCAGCAGTTCCAGCTGGGTGATGTTCTCCCTCTGGCTGCTTGTAGCAATTCCTGGTTTGATTGCTCAGAGCCTGCTCTTATTCCCTAGCAGCTAGGCCTTCCTTCCCATCAGGCAGCCTCCTGCTGGCCATGTGACTCTCCTGATTGGGAGTGCAGTCAGCTGCAGGTTGCTCTGCTGCCTACTCAGGCCCTTAAAGTATCAGGCACTGAAGGTGCCCTTCCACAGGTGGTTATGAAGAAGCCGGAGCTGGACTGTTCTAGGTTGTGGCAGATAACAGAACAAGGAGCAGTGGTCTTGAGTTGTAGCGAGGAAAGCTTAGATTAGATATCAAGAAAAAACTTTCTTGCTAGGAAATTAGTAAAGCACTGGAACAAGTTACCCTGAGAGACTGTGGAATCTCCATCCTTAGAGGTTTTTAAGACCTGGGTAGACAAAGCCTTGGCTGGGATGGTATACCAAATTTACTGGAATGTAGACAAGGCTTCCCTGCCTCACCCCCACCCCCCAGAGTCATGGAGGGGGAGGAAAGTCCCTCATCTTATATTTGCATACAAAGTGGAGGGTGGGAGCAGGTATCTGCTGTGGCTCTGACTCTGACTCTGACCCTGGGTAGGTGCCAGAATCAGACCCATGGCAGCCTCCTGCCCCTCACCCCAACTCTGTTTCTCCTCTGCAGTAAATACTGTGTTCCAGTAAATATTTGATTAAATACAGCAGTTGGGGGTGGTCCTGCTTTGAGAAGGGGCTTGGACAAGATGACCTCCTTGAGGTCCCTTCCAACTCTATTTTTTTATGATTCTATGATTTATTACTATTGTTTCAAACATAAAAACAAGATACTGTTATATTTCAGTATGCTGAAGAAAGCCTGTTACAGTCCATTTTCCTGATTTTTTTTTTTTTTTTTTATTTTTTTTTTTAAGGATGGCTTTTCCTGACTTTAAAGAGGCCCTCTGTACACTATTGATGCTATTTCCTATAGAAAGTGCAATTTTAGCAATACTATTAATGAACAGCACAAAAATTGAGCAAAAGGGTACATTGGCCTGATTAAGTATATGTATCTAGACATATTTTTAATAAAGCTTGGTGTAATCTACATTTAAAACATTGAACTTGGTATTTTTGTTTCAGGCTGAAATCATTCCACAGGTTACAAATAATACTACAGCACTTGGTAAGTACAGCTAGGAGCTGATTTGCAACAGCGGCTTCCTGGGGTGAGAAAAATAGTCTTTCAATGAACTGTCCAGTCTTGATGGTGCTAGATTATGAAGCCTTTTAATGTTTAGGTGCAATGTTTCCAGTTGAGTATAGTCTGATGTTTACTACAAACTCTTCTTGCAGTATTTCATAGATTAACAGCTTAATAGATTCTCACAGTTCAGTACATTTTTGTATTGCATGCTTTCTAGTTAATGCTTCTGTAGTGGGCCCTGATGACTATGGTGTGGACTGCTGCTCTCTGCCAGTCAGTTCTTGCCTGCTTACCTGTCTGACATCTAGGTGACACACCCTGGGCAGCAGATCAGGGAAGTGGGCAGTAGATTGCAGGTCTACCTTGGCTCTGGACCACACTGTCACCACCACAAGATCCCAGCCCTGGCCCTGGAGCAGCTCCCCATCCAGCCAGTGCTGCTGGGGCTGGTCTCCATGGAAACCCTGGCCCCACGTCGCAGTACCACGGCTCCTTGGGTCTCCATGGAAACTGCTGCAATGATACAGACAGGGACTGATGGGAAATAGAGTCTGCCGCAGGCCCGATCTGGCCCACGGGCCGGACTTTGCCCGCTCCTGCCCTAGAAAGTGCCACTAGGGCCAAACCCCAGGGAAGGGCAAGTCTGGGGTGCCCTAAATCCCCAGCCCCCACTGATTTTCAGGAAAAGACTAGGAGACCTGACCCTGATTCAGAAAGGCCTGAACAAGAGTGTGAGGGTGACTCTGTGCAGTTTTCCCTCACTTAAATCCAATTCGTGTGCAAGTCATGACATCACTATATCCACCACATAGACACACTCAAGTCCTGTGGCAATGGACAAGCAGCAAAGCAGTAGGTGTGGATACACTGGGAGTTGTAGCTACAGACCAGCACATAGATGGCTCAGGGCATAGGGTCGCTTTTCACTGGACAAAAGCAGCTGCGGAATTTGGCAGCCCCCTGGATTACTACTCACCTCTGTAGCATGAGGAAGGGTCTAGAAAAAGTGCCCTAAACATTATCTGCTTCACCTTAACTCTGATCAGCATACGGACTGGGATCCTACTATAGCAGTTGACAACCACACAAAAAGACATAGTGAAACCACTCACCGTTGGTGCTTGGAATGCATGCACGCTAGTGGTCTGTACAATAGCAGATAGACCAAAGAGAACAGCTCTAGTTGGTAGAGAACCGGGCAGATTCAGATAGCAGCCCTGAGTGAAATGCGCGTAGCTGAAGTAGGACAACTAACTGTAAAAAGAGCCAGCTACACCTTCTGGAGTGGCCATAGTAAAGAAGAGCAACATGAAGCTGGTGTTGGGTTTGCCATCAAAACACAGCTAGTCAGCAAGCATCCTTGAAACGTTTCAACATTGACCTGAAGCCTTGGGAAGATCTTCCTCATAATTGTTCCACCTGGTGAAGCCTTATCCGTATTGGAGCTACTGTCTGTGAGTGGAGAAGAACTGCTGAGGCGGAGCAGAAACACAACTAGCATAAATCTCACAACAGCAGCACATCTGCTGTTGATCAAGCAACCCAAAGCGGCATCTTTTGCTCACTGTGCCATAGGTGGTTCAAAGCACAAATTGGCCTGATCAACCATTCACATGTTCACAGAAACCAAACCAACCAGTGATGTTATGGTCATCTTTGAATTCAAAGGACAAACATCATTATTATTTCTTGCACAACATCATCAAAGTTGTTCACAGACAAGGCAGTTTGTTTCAAATTGCAAGAAGGAAAACCGGGAATAGTATTATGCAGCAAATATCATAGCTGAAGCAGATGTTTTCAGTATGGCATTTTTAGTGAAACCTTGAGATGAAATTGTATATTCCCCAAAGGTACTGTGGAAAATGCTTTTCAGATTATGGCCCACAAGCTGGTTCCATTATTTTTGCAGAGTAGTAGGCTTGATATAAATCTAAACTTAGTATGGTTTCAAGAATTATATTAAAAGAGTGGAAATAAATTAGTCTATAAAAAACCTGAGTGGGGGCTGGAAGGGGAAAGCTAGAGTGGGGAGATTGTTATACACCCTAGAATTCTGCACTGACTGATATTAATGTGTATTTTGAGAATGTTCATGTTATATTCTGCACAGTATGGTCTTTCAGTATGAATCATAAATGGTAATAATTCAGTCTCCATTTTTCATATGTACAGCGTATGTCCAAACACACAGATTCTGTGCATGAAGTATTGCTGGAAAAGAAAGGATGTGCTGGAATAATAACTATGAATAGGCCAAAGGCTCTAAATGCATTAAATCTTCCCATGATTCAACAGATTTATCCGCAGTTAAAGGTCAGTGGTTTTACTTTAACTACCCCCTCTTTATTCAGTACACATTCAGTTATTAAGTACACATACCGGGCTTTGAACATAAGTAATCACACTTAATTCAATGAGACTACTCATGCTTAAAGTCAGGTGCCATGCTGGTCTGCAGCCTATATATAAACAAATTTACTTACATGATGATTTTCTCCCTCTACCTCCCCCCTACTAACTTTCTGTATTTCAGTGAAATGCTCAACAGTGCTGCATACATGGCAATAATGTGATCCCCCTGTTTTGCATTTTTGAGATAAATATACTTAATATCTAGCTCAAGCATTAGGGCTTCACTTAAACATATAAGTTGTGCTTCTTGTATTATATAAATATAGTTATATTCTAGTATAAATTTGCTTATTATTATTCGGGGTGAGCCAATAAAGATTTTTGGGGCCAATACTGATGACCAATTATTGGCCAGCTATATCGGCCAATACCGATCCAATTGTTGATATGCAGCCCAGCAGTTTGTAGAGCAGCGTCTGGCTGGTAAGTCTGTCGGAGGTGAAAGAGCACGGGGGGCACAGATTGAGGCCCCCGCAGTGAGGGAAGAAGTGGGGCAGAGGCAGGCATTGCCCAGCCAAGGTGGAGGCATGGGACTGAGCTGGCGGCTTGTCTGGGGGGATGGGGCATGGGGCGGCTCTTACCACTGCGTGCACTTCTGGGGGAGGCATGTGGGGCATGTGCCCCCGAGTTTTGTGTGCAGGGCAAGGGCAGGCTGCTGCTGTGCACACGTGCTTGGGGGCTGCACCAGGCTCTTCCTGGCAGCTGCGCTCAGGCCAGGCAGAGAGGGTTGGGCGGGGCGAGTGGTAGCAGTGCTGGGAGGGGGGGCGCTATGGTCCCGGCTCTACTTTTCCTGTAGCTCCCCTCCCCATGCCACCCCCGCCTGCCCCTCCGTGACTCCATCCTGCCCCAGCCTCAGCCCCACTCCCTCCCTCACCACAGGGGCCTCAGTTTGTTCCCCCCACGCTACTTCCCCCCACAACAGACTTATGGGCTGGATGCTGCTTTCCAAGCTGCTAGGCGGTATTCTTGGCTGTGTGCATGCTGCAGCTGCCTGCATGCACTCAGCATTTAGTGGTGACATTATCAGCCACATCAGCAAAAAAAGCTGATTGCCAGTAATGTCAATTTTCCTTTTCTTGGTGCCAATATGATATGGACCGATGTATTGGTGCACCTCTAACTGTTATAATTTATTCCTCTGCAAGAAGGGCAATAAACCGTACTGAAGTGAGACACCTGCATGTTAATGTAATTGCATCAATGCTGGGGAGGGGTTTGTGCTGATATAAATTACATCATTGGAAAAAAAACCCCAAGCCTATAGAAAAATCTGCTTTAGTATACTTCCTCAGCTGAAATTTGTGACTTGCTTAAGACACATTCTTCCTGCCAGATTGATACCTGGTGCTTGTTTCCTTAAGATCCTGGTCTCCCAGAGGCCCCCCACAGGAATACCACTTAAAATATATACAACTTTCTGGTGCAGTGATGAGGTATCATGACAGAGAGGTCCTTCAAAGGCACCTGTTTGAGGGTGCCCCATCCAAAAATGGGGACAGTGGCAGCCCCTCCTTTCTCCCAGCCACTTGGAAGGGACCATGTGCTGTTATGCATGCTCTTTCTCTCTTCCCCTGTCCCGCTGATGGTAGGGATGCAATTCAGAGATCTGTCTGCAGGGATTTCAATTTAAGTTCTGCTTACTTTGTGAAGTCCACTTGAAGTGATAGAAACTTATTTTTTAAAACAATGCATAGATCCTGCAGAAGTTGATCATGCCCAATGGAGAGATTTGTTTGCCCCGAGTGTATTTTTCAGGGGTTGATATTGCATGTTTGTAGAGCTTGGTTGAAATTTGGTTTGTTATGGCTTGCTTTCCAGAAGATGATAAAGAAAACAAAAACCCCATTATAGAGCCTTGTCTGCCATTATAGATGGACAGCGTTTGAGAATGGTTTTCATTGTGCTAGTATTTGGGGGGGGGGGGGGGGTTTTTTTTTTTTTTTTTTTTTTGAA